GAGTTGGCCACCCCTGGTCTAGGTATAAATCCTGTCATTTTCCCCCACAGCTATCTCCTTGGCAGTTACCACCTTTACAGCTTTGTCTCAAATCAGATCCCTATCTGTCAGTAATTGGGTCTGGGTTTTAATACTACCAGCTCCACAAACAAATCTGCCTCTTAATATGTCCTCCAGAACATTCCCAAAAGAACAGTGTTCAGTGAATTTATTGAAATCAGGCCTATTCTCTTTCTGCTATGGAATTTGAAGCATTCCACAGTTGTACTTGGCTTTGGACAACAGTTTTCAGACAAGAACTTTTGCACCTCTGCCAAACTTTTATCCCCTGGCTATTGTGGCTGCAATAAACTTCTCAAAGGGGAATATGTTTTCCTGCCACATACACTGAGAAGTATGGCTCTTTGCTTGTCTCCATCAATGATTTCATTAGCCAGAAAATGATGGCCCCATCTCCCCATTGCTGCCATTCCCAGTCTCTGGATTAAATTCCTTGTTTTTTCCATAGGATGACACAGTCAGATTTTCTCACTGCTATCATTAATTTTATTCAAAAGAAGGCAGAGTTTACTCACTTTTGCAGGCCCCAGATCACAGGTTATTTGTTAAAGAGCCAGCAAGCACATAACTGAATAGGAAAATGGAGGAAACCACAAGAAGAGTCTGAGAGTGGGGTCTTTAACACGAATCAAATATTGGAAAGACTAACCCTATCATTTCCCTGTTAGTAATTTTGTTGTTGTTGTTTAGTCATTTAGTCGTGTCCGACTCTTTGTGACCCCATGGACCAGAGCACGCCAGGCCCTCCTGTCTTCCACTGCCTCCTGCAGTTTGGTCAAACTCATGCTGGTAGCTTCGAGAACACTGTCCAACCATCTTGTCCTCTGTCATCCTCTTCTCCTTGTGTCCTCAATCTTTCCCAACATCAGGATCTTTTCCAGGGAGTCTTCTCTTCTCGTGAGGTGTTAGTAATTTTAGACAACTTTTTAGGGCTGGCAAGAGTGGCTACGGATAGGATGCTCAGTCCGTTGGCAGTTCTACTCCTAACTGATGGACCAATCACAATGGATAGTATTGGATAATTGCTGTTTTATTTGATGGCAGTGCTTCTCAACCCAAATGCTATGGCTGCCAAGCGGTGGCCACTGTCAGGTGGGCCTCAGTGCCACACCCTGCCCAGTGCAGCCTCCACTTGCCCACACCACCCGCTAGCCGTGCCATAGCATTTTGGCTGGAAGAAAGCCAGGACCAGAAATCCCTTGCATGCTGAGTAGAGGTGGCCAGGAGACAGATAAGTTTTGTGGGGAGTGGAAGCAAGGGTGGTGTTGGAGGAAATTAGAAAGTAAGATAAAAGGTTAATATTCATTGTTAAAATAAATAGATAGCTAGGCAAGGAATAGAAAGGAAGGTGATAAGAGGGAAAAGCTGTTACAGTATAGGGAAGGACCAGTTATGTCACACTCTGCTGCCACCTGCCACCATTTTGTGACTGGCTCTGCGGCTGCCCTACAACACCCATTTGCGACTGGTGGGCCTCAGTAATGTTCAGATGTCCTAGGGGTAGAGAGTTTGAGAGCGCCTCCCTCATGAGATTTGTACTGTGGGTTTCTGCAAAGTACCACAAGCAGAGGCTGGACAACTGTTATCTGTTAGGGATGCTGTAGCCTGGATTTTCTACCTCTAGCAAGGGATCAGACTGGATGTCCAGGCATAGGCGAACTCGGCCCTCCAGATGTTTTGGGACTACAACTCCCTTCATCCCTGACCACCGGTCCTGTTAGCTAGGGATGATGGGAGTTGTAGTCCCAAAACAGCTGGAGGGCCGAGTTTGCCTATGCCTGCTCTATGGTTATGAGGTTCAGTCATGTTTGTAATGGCTTTTAACATCCACGTGCAGCCACTGAGAGCAAGTTGTCCTGAGTTTTAGACTGAACTTTTATGTTATTGGTAAATTCTGTTTTTCATTTACATTAGGCTCAGGAGCAGCACTTACTTCTCTGAATAAGTGCCTGAATTCTGTTATGGGATGAATGAAAATTAAAAACGTGACCTTGTTACCCTGTTTAGCATCATGAATGTTTCACCTGGTTGTTCACACAACACTCTAACCCAAAATTTAGTTGAGTGAGGCAGCACAAATGCAGCATCATACTTCTATTTGTCTGCAGCCCTTAACATAGTTAAAAGCTTGCTCATGACGAGATTCACATAATAACAAAAAATGTCATAAACAATAAATAAAACACAACAAAAAGTGCACAACAAAACTGAAACATTTCCACATAAATCATAAGATATAAAAGTACAAAAAGTATCAGTAACAGCAACCCCCTATCCCCAACCCAAGAGTCTGTTCAGCAGCCTCAGCTTTTGTAGTTTTGAGTCATTAAGGACCCTCCCAGACCAGGTGGGAAAAGGCCGGCCATACCTTGCAGAACTTACAGATAAGAAAGGTCTGGTCCCCTGGCGAGAAACTTCCAGCCACTTTACTTATCCCCTGCTCATTCTTGCTGCTGCCCCAAGCTAAGCCAAGCCAAGCCAAACTCTGAACTATGACTTAAGCCAAGGTTTGTTCTTTGTTACAGCTCATCATTAAAAACAAGTGTGGGGCGGGGGCTGCATGCACACTATACATGTAAAGCACTTTGCTTCCCCAAATAATCCTGGGAACTGTGGTTACCTCTCACAAAGCTACCATTCTCAGCACCCTTAACTACAGTTCCTAGGATGCTTTGGGGGAAGTCATATGCTTTAAATGCATGGTGTGGGTTTGGACAACACTCTAAGACAAAGCGGCATCAGAAAGGACCCCGGCAGCGCCTCTCCTTGAGCCTGCATGTTCACCCAGTCCCAGTAGGTGTGAACCAGGCCATTGTGTGGCCTTGGGTTAGTCACGGTCTCACACCTCCTCCTCCTCCTCCTCCTTCCTCTTCTTCTTCTTCTTCCTCTTCTTCAAACAGGGTCAACCAGATAATAATGAGTGCAACAAAATTCACATGTTTAGGAAGTCAATCCCATTGAGTTCAACGGGGCTTACTTCCAGGTAAGCATTGATAGAATTGTATCCTGAATGTAAAGACTATAACTCTGGTCTTGATCCAGCCACAGTTGAGCACAGTGACTTCCCAGTGATTCAGAAGATGCTAAAATCTCCCCCATTACCACCAGATGACCCCCAAAGTGCTTAGTAGCTGTACCTCAAATAAATAAGACCCTCGTCTCTCTCTCTTTCTCTGTGTGTGTGCCTGTGTGTGTATGAAGTAATGCTAAGGCAGAGGGAATTCCCTAAGCAGCAGGGCTACTTGTCAAGAGCTGAGGAGATCCCTGCTGTAGCAGCATTTCCCTCCTTGGAGACCTGCAATTCTTCTCTTAGTCCCAGATGGAGAGGAAATCTTCACACAGCAACAAGCTCTAATGGCAGGTTCCTGACAATGGTAAGGACTGAGAAAGGGGAGGATGGACATTTTTAAAACTGTGTGCACAACTTTGCTTAGTGACCAAGGTGATTTGCAGTGGAGCATGAGACCTGGCAGTTTTTATTCCTCAAGCGTGTGGGAGTCTTACAATGCACTGCGTTCAAACAATCTGCGTGTGTGAAAGGCTGTACTTCAAAGCTAACTGGCAATCTTTTGTTTTGCTGGTTTTTACAAGCGGATCCAACTGGATTCTCGCCAGGGTTCAGAAGGGAGCGCTTAATATCACAGGTGAAGTCAAGATGCTGCTGCTAATACACTTTTCATGTCAGCTCTGTTGTCAGCAGGGCTTCCTCTTCTGAAAATCAAACCTTTTGTTATTTAAGGAAGGAGTCAGATGCCCCCACCCCAACCTCATTTCTTAAATAACAAAAAGTTTGGGAACAACGTTGGGAGCAAAATACAGATGTATGTTCCCCAGAAAAATATGCCTTTGCTTGCCTTCTCACTAGGCACACAATTCTTTGCTTAGTTAGGTAATCTGTCCTTAGTTAGTTAAATAAATAATTAACTTTTAGGCAAAAACACTTTCGGTGCAAAAGGCTTTAAGGGTCCAACAGCCCCTCTCCTACAACTGCATCTTGTTTTTATTTATTGGGGCAGCTGGGGTGGGGCTGGGGAAGCTTCTCTAATAGTTCAAGTCCAGTACAGGAAGAGAGTTCAGCTTTGAGTGATGCTACATATTTCCTATGGGAGGGGCCGCCATGTGCGTCGGGTGCAGCAGGTTCACTTAAAAGAGGTTCAGAACGGCTTTTCTGTCTGAAACCTTGTAGTCATGCCTCTGTCATCCATTGGCCACTGCTAGCCAGAGTAGATACTTTGGGGCTAGCTGGACCAATGATCTGGCCCCATATAAGGCAGCTTCCTATGTGGTCAAGGGGAGCCTTCACACAATTACTGTCCCAGGCAGCACAGCACTGGGGCAGGAGCTACCAATGGCTGGGAGAGCGCTTGCTGGTCCTGTCTAGCTCCTGTGTCTAGTTGGCCAATTCAAACACTGGAGCAGAGGGGTCTTGTAATTCTGAATTGCTCAGAGCCTTGACATGCCTTGATGACATCTTGCTGACCATAACTTTGACTGCTATGGAATAGAGACTTATCAGCATTGTTCTTTGTTAAGCAGTATGTACACAGATGGTGCTGAAATTATTTTTTTATTTGTGTATTTATTACATTTTCATTCTGCCCTTCATCTCAGGATAATAATAGCTAACAACGAGTATTAACATTATGTAGCAACAACTGCTTCTTGGGGGCCTGCTGTGTCAGTTCTTGACTTGCTTACATGACTATGCACACCATGTGTTCCACATTTGCTGATTTGCATTTCTGTTTCCTGATTGGTTGGGCCATTATAGCAGATCAGCAAACTTTCAAGTTAAACAAAGGTTGCAGGAAATGGAAAATGTCCTGTGAACCTTTTTGAAATTAGTATTTAAAACTAACACAGCAGTATTGTTGCTCTTTATTGCAGTCGCTAATGAAACAAAAGTTTATTTTCTTAATGTGCTATTTATTTATTCGCAGCAAATTCCATAAAGCTAGAAATGCAAAGTGATGATGAGGAGTCTGACAGGAAGCCCCTGAGGCGGGAAGATGGGATCAGGGGTCATAATGAAGGGAGCAGCTTGGAAGAGCCCCTTACTGAGAACCACGAGATGGTGGAGAACAGAAAAATTCAGGAGCTGTCAGGCGAGGGAGGAATCCGGCTTCCGAATGGTAAACTGAAATGTGACGTCTGTGGCATGGTTTGCATTGGGCCCAATGTGCTTATGGTACATAAAAGGAGTCACACTGGTAAGCAGCTGAAAGAAAACGTGATGACTGCCTTTGGCATCTGATGTTGATATTACCTGACATCTGTTCTCTTGCATTTCTTGATTCACCAATGATAATCAAGTGCAGTAAGGAATATATTCAAAAATCCTTTCAAAATATGTCAGTCTGTTGACTAATTGGGGAGAATGTTAATAGCACAGATTTCTAGACTTACCTACTTCACAGTAATGAATGCATTTGAGAGAAAAAATTTCCCCTGCCAAGTGTCCTTCACTGTGAAGGGACATCCTAAGCCAGCTCTTTAAAAGTTGACCACCTCCCTTTTTTCAGTAGCTTTACAAAGCCCTCGCCTCCTGTTTCTCAAGTCATTTAGCTCACACCAAAGTGTAAGTAAGAGTATTTGCTAAAATCAGGACATCTCTCACATGGCAAAGTGACTGGCCTTCATATTGGCTAGGTCTTTCAGTAGCTATCAGCCATGATACCAACTATTAGTTTCCATGTTTGGAGAACCCAGTGGATGGCTTGAAATTATGTTGGACTCAACAATTCATATTTGTGAAAAGCCTACTAAAAACGAAAATTGTGCATTGGCCAGAGAGCACCTGCTTGCCTCTGTTGTTTTTCGCATTTTGTATGACTAAAGCCTTTTGTAAGCCCACCCCCTCCCCAAACTTCCAGGGAAGTAGCATGACCATGCCTGCTTCCTAGATCACATAAACATGCCCGGCACCATCAATATCAGCTTCTAGGGGCCAGCGAAGACATTCCTGTTCACCCAGGCACTTGGCTCTTATTTAGGGTAGCCTAGCCAGGATTGCTGTTCATCTTTTAGTAGGGTAGGGTAGGATCTGTCCTTTTTGTTTTATTGAAGGATGGGCACTTTAAGTCAATAGTATTATTTTATATTTCTGCTGTATTTAAAATTTTGTATTATGTATGCTTTTGTAATTGTAAGTCACCTTGAGACATTTGCTGCAGTAAGCGAGGAGAAAATGCAATGAATAATGAGACTATTAAGTGTGGAGCCCTAAGGAATAAGGTCGGTCATGAAATACCTCTCACTGGTGTCAAAGGCCAGGGTAAAGAGGTGTGTTTTCAGCATATATGAAAGCTGTATGATGAAGGTGCCAGGTGTCCTTCTTTGGGGAAAGAATTCCACAGCTTAGGGGCTGCCACAGCAAATGCCACTCCTGAATCACCAAGGGCTGTTGAACTCCCAAGAGAGCCCCCTTCTAAATGCACGCTGCTATTGATAAAAGCAACCAGGTTGCTGGGTTTCAGTTGTGTTTAGGTGTGTCTGCTGAGCGAGAGTTCTGTAACTGGGTTTAATCCAAAACATACACGTACTTCTATGGAAGTGTGTTCTATTAGTGTTGGTGGGATTTACATACTGGTAGATGCACTCAGAACTGCAACCTTCGTTTTGAGCTCTGCGGGCACTGCAGTATAAAACATAGGTTGGATAGTGTGGATGTTCAGTCTGCCCCCAAAGTCGACATATTCCCAGTATGAATTTCACAATAGCATTTGTCTAACGGTAAATCCAAAGCTGGAAAAACTGATTTCTAAGGTAGGGCAGAAGGGTTCGGATATGCTGAATAGAAATAGCTGATTATGACATCCTTGGGAGGTTCTCCTCCCTTTTTTAGGTGCATTAAAAACAAATACTTTGCTCGTTTAATAAGAAGCAACAACTTTCATATTGTTCAAAGTCCTGCACCCAAACAGAAGCAGGAGGGTCTTGGAAAGTGGGCTCCTGCCTGTCTCTCCTTAACTGAGTAGCTAGAAGACAAAACCGCTCCCAGGCTCTTGAGTGTTGGTGGGGTGGCCTATGCACTGCCGTGAGCTCCTTGGCACCCAACTTGTGATATGACCTGGCAGCACTCAGCATCTGAAAAAAAACCCTGTTCATAAATCTACATGATATAGCCTGAGGCACGACTACATATAGGATTCAAAAATAATTAGCAAAGGGGAGCAGGAGGCAAGGAAGAACAACAATTACAAAAACGAAAAAGGTTGGGGGTGATAATAGGAGGGACATGAGAAAAAACAAGTTGGGGAAATCCTGTTAAAAACTCATTGTCTTCAACAAGGTGCAACGAGGGTGTGACTGGTGCAAGGGAGGAAGATCCACCTCTCAGTATTAGGGCTCATACTTTGCATGCAGAAAGATTCAGTTCTTGACATCTCAGGAAGCAGAGCTAGCGGAAAACTCTGCCTGAGAGCGTGGAGAGCTGTTGCCTTTCAGAAAGGTAACGCTGGGCTGGAATTACCAATGGTCTGACTCAGAATAAGGCAATTTCCTATGTTTTAAGGGGCATGTGTGTGTGCATGCATAGAGTGGGAGTGTAAAGTACCTGACCCTGAACTGAACATGGAGGTAAATCACAGGTATTATTATTATTTGATTTATTACAGTGGCAGTAAATATAGAGACAATTTGGACATTTTACACTTTAGGCACTGCAGAGTTGTTGTCTCTCCACCTCCGCCCTCCGCCCCATAGCATTGTGACCCAAAAAAGAAAGAGAAAGAGATTACATAAGACACTGTCCTTTTGTTAGAGCCATTAGAGTTCCTATATTGAGGAATAGTGCTTGTTCCCTCTCTGAAAAAAGGCAGTGATGCATTGGCTATTCAGATGTTCTCAAGCATATAGAAATGACTTCTCTTTCTGTGTGTAGCTTTGTTCTCTACTTTGGCTGACCCCAGATGCTGCTTAGCTATTTTATTATATGGAAGTTTCCTTTTTTGTGGGGGAGGCGGGGGAGGTTTTCCGGTAGAAATGCTACCTATTAAAGGTAAAGCTGAATCTCCAGCGTGGGATAATCATGTTGTTACCTCTAATAGGACAGTTGTAAGGATCACTCAGGCAGAGTCTACGCATGACATAGAATGTGGTGATGGAGTTGTCAGGAGGTAGAATAGACTTGTACGACTTCAAAAAGCAATTGTGATTCCTTAAAAAAACGACCCCTATAAGAAAAAACACTGCACAATTAAAAACCAGTACGTACAATTGTTTCTACTCAGTCTACTCCATTTCTTACTTGTAGGGAGTAACTCTACCTAGTGGAACATTCAGAAATGGTATTCACCCCACCCAACAGTTTGAAGTGGTACAGCCCATTTTGCCACCTTTTTTGACCTGGCCTGAAATAATTCAAATGCTTTGAATCTTCTAAAACACTGGATATGTTATTTTGATGCATTAAAATCTCCTTGCAAATAAGCACCAAAAAACATACTGCTAACCCTGTAAGCCTGTGGTGCATCAAACAGCATGAGAATAAAAACTGAAAGGTGCGGAGGGGAGGAACAGCTTAACTTTATTTAAAAAATAAATAAAAATACCCTACCTCATCTGCTGGATACAGTTCTTGTGATGTAAGAGGCGCAGAGTAAGCAGATAAGTAAGCAGTAATTGTGACTGGGAAGTATAATTAGCTGGCTAGCCTTTTTGGGAATGATATTAATGTGCACCATGAATTACTTCTTGGCCTTTTGTGAAACTGTTCCATACCACAAAACTTGGCTGCCAAACCCTACAAAATAGTTTGTCTAAATAGATACGTGTTGGTGCGTATCCAAGCATAGTATTTCGTTCTTTTTAAAAAAGGAAGCTCACTAAAAGCATTGCCCAGCAGACTCAGAACTGTGTAGATGTTTGAATCTCCCAGTCATCTGATGCTCAGATTCAGGGGGCAGAGAATGGAGCATGGGAGGGGAAGGAGTGGTGCCTGGAGCATCTGGGGGAGGAAAACTGCTGAGGGGCCAGGTGGGTTGATGCAGATAATTGTTCCTGGTGGCGGAAAAAACCTGAATGTGTTTAGGGTCTCATTCTGGAGGCGTGAGGGCCATGTGTGTGTAATGAATAGCAGAAACTCTCAAGCTATGCAGCTTATACCCCTTCACCCTCATTCAGGTCCTTCAGCCTAAGATTTCACTCCTCCATCTAAAAAAGCCCTTGGGAACAGGCTAAATTTCAGACTGTAACTTCTAACCCTACTGTACACAGGGGAGAGGGGAAAACGCAAAGAGGACAGGTCTCCTGTGCCTTTGATGGTTGTGTAGATGAGGAACTAAACCAGTGGCCCTCCAGATAGCAGAGGACTACCATTCACATCATCTCCATTTCTTGCCACGCTGGCTGTGCTGGCTGGGACTGATGGGAGCTGAAGTCCAACAATATCTGGAGGACCAGAACTTCCCTACTCCTGTTGTAGGGGGACTTACAGCAGGAGTGGCTGTTCCTGGCTCTTAGCCAGAGATTTTGTGAGGTGGGAGCCACTAGGGGCAGAGAGTAATTGCAGAACAGGCGGGCCATAAAAGCAGATAGCCTAACATACAGGAAGTTATTTAATCCTTGATTTTTTTAAAAAAAGTAAAAAATTGAAGCTTAAGGTTGAGCAGGAGCCTGAAATATCCCTGAGCCAGGGACAAGCCCTATAGTCATATGTCATGATGCTGCATTACTGGATCTTGAAACTACATTCTCATGAATGCTACTCATGAAGATGAGGAATAGTTATGAGAAAGGAGGCTCCCGAAAAGACTCGTGTACACTCCTAGTTAGCTTTTTGAACCTTCCCCCTTGCTCTTCATTTTATAAGGCTTTAGGTACATATGTAGGTACAAAAAACAATCTTATACCTTGATCACCTTATACCATAAACCAAATCAAGTGATAATGCTTCTTCTGGACTGTACTAGTTCAGCCCACAGGTTGGGGCCAGGAGGAGATGGCATGTTTGAATTCTGTCCCATAGGGGTAAATCCCTCTTTCTGAATAGTGAACTGAAATGTTAGGAAGAAAGATTCAGCTTGTTGTTTTCTGTAGGTGGTGTGGGGTTGTTGTTGTTGTTGTTTGTTTGTGTTGTTTTGAGAACATGCAAACTCACAGTGACCCTGAGCCTCCAGTGCAACCCATAATGGTAATTTCTGAAAAGATTACCTTTTTGATTCATTTGAATCTGTAAATTGGTCTTAATTTGGCCTTATTGTCTAGGTACAACATCTGAATTGTGCATAATGAAGTTGTGGCCGAGGGAAGGTTATAACACAACACATTTTAATCTTTAAGGTAAAAGGTAAAGGTACCCCTGCCCGTACGGGCCAGTCTTGACAGACTCTAGGGTTGTGCGCCCATCTCACTTAAGAGGCCGGGGGCCAGCGCTGTCCAGAGACACTTCCGGGTCACGTGGCCAGCGTGACAAAGCTGCATCTGGCGAGCCAGCGCAGCACACGGAAACACCGTTTACCTTCCCGCCAGTAAGCGGTCCCTATTTATCTACTTGCACCCGGGGGTGCTTTCGAACTGCTAGGTTGGCAGGCGCTGGGACCGAGCAACGGGAGCGCACCCCGCTGCGGGGATTCGAACCGCCGACCTTTCGATCGGCAAGCCCTAGGCGCTGAGGCTTTTACCCACAGCGCCACCCGCGTCCCATTTTTAATCTTTAGGACGCTATAAATATTATTTCTGGGTTTTGACTGTAACTTACGAATGTTTCACAAATTCTAAACTGATTTCCTGATTGTGAGCTTTGGAAACATCTAAGGTCTGGGATTCCTCCCCATTTCCCAAGTGAGATTGTAAAAATCAGGGGTCATTTGGGCTGAGGCCTAAGATTCTCTCTTCAGTGGATTTGTGCTCCATATGTGAGACAAATCAGCACACACACACACACCCCAAACACACACACTGTTCTATTAAGAAACTGATGCACAGGATGGTAATTCACAAGAAGGCTTATAAGAAAAATCGAAAACTTGTATAACATAACATGATCTCAAAAACCTATCTAAAATTGGCAAGACCTTCCCTTCCCCCTTTTCTTGCCTTTTCTTCTTTAAAACTACGACTCCCAGCAAAGGGCTTTTAATCCATTTATCATTTCCAAAATGCTTTGACGTAGCCTTTACAATCATTGATCATGAAATGCAAGCTTTCTGTGGACCATCATTCATCAAAGAAGTTTTATTTACAGAAGGATGTGAAACTGTAGACAACATGTAAAACTGCTGTTCTACAGTTTGTTTCACAGGAGTACCAAATCAGATTTGCCACTTTTCAACTTAACTTCTTGGTTACTCGAAGACTTGCATTGCACAGCCTACTTTATAGAATTTTTCATGATTGCAATAGCCAGGTAATCAGGTAATATTGTCGCTGAATACTTAAGGTACTCTTTGGCCTAGTTCTCACAGAGGTGGTCTGTGCATAAGGACTGTGTCATATGCAGATGAGGACTCATGTGACTGAATACTGTTTCATGTAAAACATGTCTCTGCACACAGAAAACTAGGGTTTGAAGAAGTCTGGTCTGGACCTTTCTCCCTCACATGCTAGTTTTCTACATTGTGGGTGTTGGGTGGGTGTGTTAACAAGCATTCAACTCTGTGTGAGCCACAGCTGTAGCTTGAAGTGCTACAGCCTGGACTCAGATTTTGTTCATCGGTGAGAATCAGGCTTTTGTTGTGGAGCTTATAGAAGAGATTTCTGGGCGCCAGTTTGGCGACCACAGTTAAAAAACTTCTGCCGTAGTTCATAGTTAGTGCCATTTCCATTTTCCCTGTGTGTGTTTCTCCTTCTTGCATACGGGGGCAAATTGTTGTGAGAGCGAGCTGCAGGCAAGCAATGTAGTTGAGATCAGAGGAGCATAGAATTATAGCATTGGAAAGGACAACAAGGGCCATCTAGCTCATTGGCACCTAGCTTATATTTCTAACACTGATTCTATGAAAGTTTATGCAAAGCTATGTGCATCACTTGCTCTAACACTACTTCAGGTGGATCATTATTTTAGCAAGGGCAAATAGTTTCACTAGATTCAGAAGATATGGAAGGTAGTACTCAGGATGGGTGCTGCACAGACTGCCTGATCAGGGCATGAAACAAATCAGCACAGGAAATCTGAAGGCCTGGTTTAGCCTGGCTAGGCTTCCCTGGTCAGCAGGGCTTGATGTGAACCAGGGTTTAGACAAAGGATGTATTCCAGTACCAAGGCTTGGAATATATGAGGCAGCTATAAAAGGAAAGGAATCTGAGCCTATGCAGTCTTTACTTCCCCACCCACTAATGATAGCAACCACCCACCCACCCTCACATTGATATGGGTTTTAGGGTTTAGAGGGCCTCAGGGTCAAGATGAATCTCACTTCAGACTTCCCTGGTCTGCTCAGCACAACATGATGCTTCCCAGTTCAGATCTTCTAGGCAGGTATAAAGGTTTCCCTTTGAAGGCAAATGTGCACTATCAGGGTATGACTGTTGGAAACCTGATTGAGAATATTAAAGCATTAATCCACTTGCTCAGTTAAGCTCATTAATCTCCCTATTAAGGTAGTTTTAAATGACTATTCTGCAGATGACATATGTGAGAAGGGGGAAATGCTGGGGATGACTCTGACATGAGTAATTAAAGCATTCTGTCAGATGAGAGGGAAAGCTGGCTACCCTGAAAGTTCCAACTGAGGTAGAATAATGAATACTGACTCTGGAATTTGTTGAATTTAAAAGTTTTTAAGATCTACATTTACAATTTAGCTTTAACTTTTAAGAACTAAGCTCAATCCTAGGCTCAATGTCTACTCAGAAGTAAGTCCCATGGGGCCCCATATGTGTATGTGTGTAAAATTGTAGCTGAATTCTGCCATTTTTTTATCAATAATCAGGGCTTTACTGCTCAGAAACTTGAAGGTGCTTCATTGTTAGCCTAGCCAGCTACTGAGCTGCTTTAAATGTAATCAACCCAACAAGAAGCAGAAATGTTGCCGCCTTCTGTTCCTGAGTTCAGCATCTATTCGCTTGTCAAATACCTTGTGGCATTGTTGTGTGTGAGAGAGACTTCTTTGGCAATGTGCGGGCTGCACTTTACATGTTATCTGTGTATAAGAAAAATGTAGTCTTTATAGAGAAAAATGTCCATCAGCTGCAATATAATGCAAGCACGACTGTTATATGGAACAACTTAATTGCCATATTTATGAAGTCAATACAGGAAATCCCTCATGTGTGCTTTAGACAGTGGGCAGATCCACACCGTACATTTAAAGCACATGACTGAGCACAAAGAATCATGGAACTGTGGTTTATAGCTGTGAGAGGGACACTACTGTTCGCAGGATTCTTTCGGGGAACTGATATGCTTTAAATGAGCACTCATAGTTCTTTGAATGTATGGTGTGGCTCTGCCCATTGTGGTATACCTGCGTTTGTCTGAATACATATATAAAGCCCTATACAGCTTGCAGTCAGAATGCTTGAAAGACGTTCCCTCCCCTTGTACTCCCAAATGATCCATGTGCTCTGCAGGCGGGGCTTCCTGCGCAATCCATTTTATCAGGGTGTCTGCTCTGCACAGTCTAGGAATCTGGCCTTTAGTGTTGTGGTACCAACCCTTTGGAATTCCCACCTGTTAAATATTAGACAGATGTAGTGTCCGTAGTCTCTTTGGTGCCTTCTGAATGCCTTCCTTTCCCAACAAGCTTTTTTTAAGTAGAGTTCTTTCCCTATGTGTATTGGAATTGTTTGTAGATATTTTATTTGTTTTACTATTTCTGTGTTTGCTGCCCTGAACTCCTTTGGGAGGAAGGGCAGGATACAATTTTTTATAAAGAACTATTAATAAACCAATGGCTGCTGATTCTGCTGATCACATGTGGTCTAAATGAGTATGGGTGGGTGGGACTGCATAATTATTTGGTAGCCCCAGCTATGGTGATAAAACATAAATGGTGGCCACAGAAGTGTCCCACATCAGTGTATTCCTGTTTTGTTGACCTCCCTGGTCTCCCAAAACACAAAGCGGAATGAAGATGGTGGAGTAAAGAGAGACAAGACGAAGGAGCGTTAGGTTGCTGGGGAAGGATCAGGGGGGAGCAGCCTTAGAGAGTGGCGACCTTCAGTCCTTGCAACTGCCTCATTGGGGCAAGACCTGCTGGGAAGAGTTGCTGTGATCACTAGGCTTGAATTGTTTTGGTTTCTTTGAATGAAGAGTGTTTTATTGCTGACCTGCTCCTGACTCCAGCTCCTGACACTATATTTGGAGAAGATCCGTTAAAAAGCAGCAGTACCAAAATGAATTATTGTGAAAATAAGAAATGGGTGTGTGATTTGGTCCTCACCCAGGGTGCCATATTACCAAAGTGTGCGCCTGCTGCTGCTGCTGCTGCTGCAAGTTTTTCTCTACTATTATGTAGCATTTCAGGAGGGGTAGATTCGAAGCTTTCCTGGATTTCATTGTCTCAGATACTATATTTATGAGAGCACCCTTGTTTGAATATTGGGAGATTGGGCATGTATATTCGTTGGCCATGGTTTCTCAGACCTTTTCTCCGTTGTCTTCTCCACTGCAGGTGAACGTCCCTTTCACTGTAACCAATGTGGAGCTTCCTTCACACAGAAGGGGAATCTACTGAGGCACATCAAATTACACTCTGGGGAGAAACCGTTCAAATGTCCCTTCTGTAGCTATGCTTGCCGGAGAAGGGATGCCCTCACAGGACACCTCAGGACGCACTCGGGTGAGTCTACAATGCCTGCTCTTTAACTGCAGTGCTTTTAAAAACACTGAACATACATCACTAGCTACCTTATACTGAGTTATTATCTATACTGACTGACAGTGTCTGTTCAGGATTTCCGTCAGGATTCTCTTTCACAGTGGCCTGGATTGCTGAGTTACTAAAATGGCAGTTCCCCATGTATTGGGGGTGGATCTTGCCCACATCCACTGCCTGCAATCCTTTTAGGCCAGCAATGCCAGGGATTGAATCTGGCCAAGGCGTGGCTTTCACCTTTTACCTGTGGCTCCTTTGTCCTACTGATATGCTTATTGATCTGGAGGCAGACAGGTGTCATTTATGTATTTGTTACAGAAAAGCAAGCACTGCTTCTTCAAAGGGAGCAAGAAGGGACTCTGCGTGCAGGCAAATGGCTTATAAATACCTCAGCTTATTAAGCCAATATATGGTTTTCTGAGTGTGACTAAAATTTCCACAGTCTTGAATGCTGCAAAAACTGTATTTCTGTGCCCTTCACACATAAATTGCACAGGCACAATAATGGACCCACCAAATTATGATGTCAGCTTAATGGTTCCAAGGAAAATTGATTCCATTAGGCCAAAGGACTTCTATGGATACTCTTGACAAGCTTCCTGTGCCCCACCCCCGACCCCATGGTTCCAGGCCTGGATAATGTGTCAACCAGAATATATTTTTTTGTAACTTCAGCACTTTGGGTATTAAGCACACCATTATCTGTGATTCAGTAATCCCCAAGTATCAGAAAAACGCAGAGGTCCAAAACCTTCCCAAGCAAGTTTTTCTGATCTGTCCTACAACTGTGAGGTTATTGATGTGTATGCAAGATGTAAGACACAACTGTTAGGTGTTGGAAACTTGACTAGGTATTTCAAATTACTGTTGAAGAGCTAGAAATAGAATATTGTGAGTGTTCTTTATGTTTTAAGAAATGGAAAGTCTTCAGAAGATTCCCCACTAGATGTGGAAAGTCATAAACCAAACCCCAGCTGTTTAAAGATCTGTTTCGTACAGCTAAGATAGAGAATACCTTTAAGGAGCGCCTCTAGCAAGTGCAGGTTGGACCCTCTTTCTTCTAGATCACTTTGTCACTGATAATGATAAACATTTGTTTTAAAATAGAAATAATGTTTTAAGTTTTAACATCATAGGAAATCATGGTATTTACATCATAGGAAAAAGTTACGAAGCTATGCAGGAAGAAATAAATCATCTAAGCAACAGACTACTCAGGTGCAGGTGTATATTCCAGTACACAGGGGATAACATCATCATAACAAAACAGTTGGCCTCTGTTGCCTTTTGATTTTGAACTTTCATCCTAAACTGGCACAGAGAATGTATTTTCTTGTATCAGAAGTTGAACGTCAAATTACCATGGTCCAGTTTCTGCTTGCAAAAAGGTACATCTAGCGATAATTACCTAATTCCTTTTTCTTCTGATCTTGCTGTTTACAATTAACTCACCACAATCATGTTTAAAAGTGCCTGCTACACAGAATAACACTTCATGCATTTGATGAAGTGGACTAGTCCATGAAAGCTTAAGCTATAATAAATAAGTTAGTCTTTACGGTGCCGCAAAACTGCTGTGTTTGCTTCAAGAGACCAGCACAGGACCCCTTCTAGAAATTGTTTTTCTTGGGTAGATTCCACATCTAACATTTTGAATAGGTGTTAAAATAGGTAGCATTTTCTCTCACTATGGGAAACTATTCCACTACATTCCTTTCTTCATGATATCTTTGTCATGGATTCTGCTCCATACTGATCAGAGCAGACCTCAACATATTGGTAGCAGAGTAAAACCATAAACATGATGCAGGGTTCCCCAAAAAACAACTCAGAGGTAATCAACTTCATACAGCAGAGTTTATTACTGAAGGTAAATGAGCATAACAGTCACAAATCAAATTCTTCAGGATTGGCACAGTCCATAAGAAATCCAGTTGCATCAGACTTAATTTAAACTTCAGTAAGACTAAAACATAGATTTAGTGCTATGTACAGACCACCATGCCAGAAAGAAAGAGAGACAGAAAGTGAAACCCAAGCTCTTCTGGCCTATTATTAGGAACCTTCTGCTTGTTTCCAGGCAGAATAGAAGCTTGTATCACACAGAGAAGCTTTCAGAACCCTCTTGAATTAATTAGAATAGGAAAAATCTCTACACTTTAAGTGAATACTTTCTGTACCAAAAAATGTAAACCTGACAGTCTTTACCTTTAAGTTACTCCCAGGTGGTCTTTACCCCATGTGAAGGCTATCCTGAATATCAAACAGACTTGTACACAAATCCAGTGTTTGGGGATGAGATGGGGAATGGTCTATCATTGAACCACTGACCAATTTTTTTGTGGATCTCATAGTGCCTAGTGGCTTCTGTTATTCTTGCTACAAATACAGGATTAAGTAATGTTTGCTCTGATTCAGCAAATCACTTTTTATGTTCTTAAGCTAGAACATATATTCTAGTATTAGTGAATACAGATTACTTACTTTTTATTGTCAACAGATTCTGAGTATGCATCCTTATTTTCTAAATTAAAACATATTTGTGGACCATAGGGATTTCACTTATTTTTTTAAAAAAGTTGAACCATGCAAGATGTAAGTCAGACTGCCTCATTTTAGGGTGAATTACTGTATGCTGTCATTCACATTGTAATCTTGGTCAGTCCTTTAAATTGAGCACATAAAAAAGCTTCCTATCAGTAGCCATATCATGAATCACTATTTTGTTTGTTCTCACAGCACTGGGCACAGTATAAGCCAAGATCAGAATTTCTGAGAAGGGAGTATTAGTTACTGACGTTACTTTAAGCATGTAAAGATGGAACTATGGTAAAAGAATTAGATTTACAGGAGATGTGGAGATTCAATACAATGTTTTACTTCTCAGTTGGAGAGCACAAAACGAAAGCCAAGAATTTCCATCCCACTCCACAACCCAAGAAAATATTTAAATTTATGCTTCTTTCTCTTAAAATTCATTCCCACTGATTCTAAACAGAAATCTTAGAAGTGAACCCCATTGATTTCAATGAAACATGCATGTCAGTAGTGTTTTTAGAACCCTTCTTGAAGCCCAAATCACCAACGCCCAAATGTTGAAGCATGCTACAGGTAACTTCATATGGGACAACATGGCTTTATGCTGTGCTACTGATACTGAGAAGCTGAGCTCCTTAACGGGAGCCAAATGAAAACCAGGTCTTGAACCTGGACCTGTTGTGAACTTTGCTTGACATTCCCCGCACACCTACATTTTATTGTACACAGAAGGCAAAGAAGCTTTATCCTGCAGGCTTCCCGTCTTAGGGAAGAGCTTTTAACTTGATTGCTGCTCTCTGGCCGTTTCCCCATTTCTCTGTTTGATAAGTGTGGCCTTTTCCCGCCCTGTATCTCAGCCTTCTTGCCCTGTGGTGGCTAATGGAGATTGACTATGCAATGGGTTACACAGGATGTGTCATTTCCATACATAGGTTTTGCTTAATTATGCTGCTCTGGCTGCAGGCACAGACACATAAGTTTCCCTGCTCTCTGTGTAATAAAATAAAAGATTTATATTGTCATAATTAAATGTAGGGCTGCGGTCCTTACAGTGCTAAATGAGCATTGGAGGCCTGGGCAAAGGCAGTTGTTTGAGGGTGACATACATCAAAGCAGAGAGTAATTAAAATACTGAAAAGGACAGAGAAAGAAACCTTCTTGGAGACTCATAAACATATTTATGTGGTAATCATATGAACTTAGTCCCTCACCCTCACTCCACAGTGATCAAGATGGCCATACTCCCATCAGTACCAAAGGTCACAGGAGGTCTCTCTCTTCCCATCCCCTTTGTTATATCCTGGGAATTCCTAGTGTTCTAACGTTGCTGTTGGCATCTTAAGGGCCTCAGGTCCACTTCTGAAGCATTGCCGTAATTTTTACAAAAGTTTTTTTAAAATCAAAACATTTGCATCCCTCCTTTTCTTCTAGGTAGCTAACAACAGCAAGTTATAAAAATGAATTACAAACACATGCACACACAAATATAAAGGTAAAGGGACCCCTGACCATTAGGTCCAGTCGTGGCTGACTCTGGGGTTGCGGCACTCATCTCGCTTTATTGGCCGAGGGAGCAGGCGTACAGCTTCTGGGTCATGTGACCAGCATGACTAAGCCACTTCTGGTGAACCAGAGCAGCGCATGGAAACACCGTTTACCTTCCCACTGGAGTGGTACCTATTTATCTACTTGCACTTTGCTGTGCTTTCGAACTGCTTACAGCTAACTCAAGCTAAAAGTCTCCATTCTCCAACTGTTTTGGTAAAAATTCATTAGTTATTTATTAGTTATATCCACATTTCCTACAAGATGCAGCTTAAGGTGGCTTACATGCGGCTAAAATCAGCATGAATATGTGTGTGTTAAGGCTTGTGTTTGCATAGATAGAGATAGATAAAATCACTTACTAAATTCCGTAAACTTCAGAACAACCAGCAGATTTGTTAACTAGAAGAATAAAGACCCATCAACCAAATGTCTGGCAAAATACAAAAATCTGTTACTTGTATTTTAAAACTATCTGTATTTGGGGGGGGGGGTGATGGGAGTTGTAGTACAACACCTTCAAGGGGGCCATAAATCCCCATCCCTGTTTTAAAAATCAAGGAAATTAAGGCAACATTGCCACTCAAGAGCTAGTCTTACAGGGATCAAGGTGTCAATGCCAAAAGCCATTGGGATATTAGCCTAACTAATCTACCTTCCTCTGCTGCCTCAAACTGTCCCCATCCAACCCAAAACAGTCACCAAGCAAATATATTGATTATTTATTTATTAAATTTCTATACTGACCTTCATCCAAAGATCACAGGGCTGTTTACAGTAGAAAATCACAAAAGGCCTGGGAGAAGAGGAATGTTTTTGCCTGGCATCCAAAGATATATAATGGTGATGCCAAGCAAACCTCCCTGGGGAGAGCATTCCAC